CAAGTTGCTGAATAATGAGAAGGCCATTATATAATACTGTAGAAAAGTTTGGGGTCACCATATACATACATACATATAGGTCCATATACATACATACATACATACATACATGCATACATAAATAAAATTGTGAATTTTAATTTTACAATTCAAGTTCATATCTCACAATTAGATTTCAGAACTGCGAGTTTAATTTTGAGTTATCATCTCACAATTCAGTTATTTTTTCTCAGAATTGTGAGAAGAAAATTCACAATTATTTGCAATTTAATTGCGTTAAATTTACCAAAAATGACAGTAAAGACATTTGTAATATTCAGAGGTTAAAAAGATTTCTATTTTAAATACAGTTCTTTTAAACTTTCTATTAATCAAAAAAAAAATCCTGAAAAAATGTATTACTGTTTCCAAATATTTCTTTTAATATTGATAATAATCAAATAAGCATATTAAAATGATTTATGAAGGATCATGTGACACTAAAGACAGGAGTAATGATGCTGAAAATTCAGCTTTGCATCACAGGAATAAATTGCATGTATAAAATATATTAAAATAGAAAAAAGTTATTATAAATTGTAATAATATTTCACAATATTCCTGTTTTTATTGTGTTTTTGATCAATAAATGAGCATAAGAGGCTTTCAAAAGCATTAAAAAATACCGACTGAATCTTTTGAATGGTACTAGTGCCTGTGCTTTGGCTTTCAGAGGTTTTTAAATTACATATTGTTTTTATTCCATATTGTTTTAGCAGCAGTTTGATTTAGCATTTAAAGTTTTATTTAACTGAAAATGCATGTTAACAAGTCTGTCATTGTACTAAATGATAATATGGTTGTTAAGCCAAGATCATGGCGATTTATTGCCTAATGTTAGAATGAATGAATGGAATGAAGGATAGATTATATCTATGATTGGTTGGAATACATCTACAGTACTTGATAAAATTAACACTTTTTATTTTAAAAGAGCAATTTTATTTTTTCTATTGTATGACCCCCTTTAAAACCTTTTAAACTTTCTTTCTGGACTGGAATCTGGAATCTGGAATCTGGAATCTGGAAACATGAATCAGTATCTGTGCATCCCTACTTTAATGTATCCTTTCTACCCGCTGTCTACACAAACCAACAAAGAACATGAGCAGCATGTGTCGACTCGGGAGATATTGTTTGAAATGTTCAAAGTGTGTGTGAGGAAGCAAAAGCGTCTTTGACACAGAAGTGGTGGGTGGGTGGCATTCCTCTTCTCTGTCTCTCTCCTCTCTGAGAGCGTTTTCCTCCCACACTGTGACCCCAGTTGGCGCGCGCTTCCCTGCGGCAGGATTTCCTCTCAGGCTCTCGCTATGCAAGAAACGTTCTGTTCCAAGATTCTATATAGGGAGCTCGATTACAAACCATCCTTGTAGACATATTTCAGCATTAAAGATCCAACACATAATTGATTGTTCAGTTCAACAGCACAAACCCAATGGGTTTCACAGGCTAAAAGCAAAGCTATGCCAAGTTACTAAATACTGAATATGCATTGATATGTGAATGTGGGCGTGCATATGTTAATGTACTTGTGATATTAGTTGCATGTACCCTTGATAAAAAGAGTCTCTGTAATTAAACTGCAACATGTGATGATTTATGTTGCACACGATGCAGCTTATAGAGCTAAATAGAGCGTATAGAGACCATACTTAGACTGACACTCATTTGGCTCCAGTTAAGTATTTTCTCTTGTTTCTAATGTTACTGCCAGTTGGTGTTGAAGGATTTCAAGCATTTATGTTTACATTTTAAGGAAATTAAGCATCTAATGCTTTTAAAGAAACTATGTCTCAGTGGTATGTGGTCAACTTGTGCGATGAAGAAGTGCACTCTGTGGGTTTGTTTTTTTTTGTGTGTAAATTCACGTTCAGGCATATAAAAGGCATAAAAAACATATAATGCATATAAAACAGCATTTTAACTTAGTCTTGAGACTATTACCAATAAATCAACAATATATTATGTGTGTGTGTGTGTGTGTGAGCATATTAAAATGATTTATGAAGGATCATGTGACACTAAAGACAGGAGTAATGATGCTGAAAATTCAGCTTTGCATCACAGGAATAAATTGCATGTATAAAATATATTAAAATAGAAAAAAGTTATTATAAATTGTAATAATATTTCACAATATTCCTGTTTTTATTGTGTTTTTGATCAATAAATGAGCATAAGAGGCTTTCAAAAGCATTAAAAAATACCGACTGAATCTTTTGAATGGTACTAGTGCCTGTGCTTTGGCTTTCAGAGGTTTTTAAATTACATATTGTTTTTATTCCATATTGTTTTAGCAGCAGTTTGATTTAGCATTTAAAGTTTTATTTAACTGAAAATGCATGTTAACAAGTCTGTCATTGTACTAAATGATAATATGGTTGTTAAGCCAAGATCATGGCGATTTATTGCCTAATGTTAGAATGAATGAATGGAATGAAGGATAGATTATATCTATGATTGGTTGGAATACATCTACAGTACTTGATAAAATTAACACTTTTTATTTTAAAAGAGCAATTTTATTTTTTCTATTGTATGACCCCCTTTAAAACCTTTTAAACTTTCTTTCTGGACTGGAATCTGGAATCTGGAATCTGGAATCTGGAAACATGAATCAGTATCTGTGCATCCCTACTTTAATGTATCCTTTCTACCCGCTGTCTACACAAACCAACAAAGAACATGAGCAGCATGTGTCGACTCGGGAGATATTGTTTGAAATGTTCAAAGTGTGTGTGAGGAAGCAAAAGCGTCTTTGACACAGAAGTGGTGGGTGGGTGGCATTCCTCTTCTCTGTCTCTCTCCTCTCTGAGAGCGTTTTCCTCCCACACTGTGACCCCAGTTGGCGCGCGCTTCCCTGCGGCAGGATTTCCTCTCAGGCTCTCGCTATGCAAGAAACGTTCTGTTCCAAGATTCTATATAGGGAGCTCGATTACAAACCATCCTTGTAGACATATTTCAGCATTAAAGATCCAACACATAATTGATTGTTCAGTTCAACAGCACAAACCCAATGGGTTTCACAGGCTAAAAGCAAAGCTATGCCAAGTTACTAAATACTGAATATGCATTGATATGTGAATGTGGGCGTGCATATGTTAATGTACTTGTGATATTAGTTGCATGTACCCTTGATAAAAAGAGTCTCTGTAATTAAACTGCAACATGTGATGATTTATGTTGCACACGATGCAGCTTATAGAGCTAAATAGAGCGTATAGAGACCATACTTAGACTGACACTCATTTGGCTCCAGTTAAGTATTTTCTCTTGTTTCTAATGTTACTGCCAGTTGGTGTTGAAGGATTTCAAGCATTTATGTTTACATTTTAAGGAAATTAAGCATCTAATGCTTTTAAAGAAACTATGTCTCAGTGGTATGTGGTCAACTTGTGCGATGAAGAAGTGCACTCTGTGGGTTTGTTTTTTTTTTTTGTGTGTAAATTCACGTTCAGGCATATAAAAGGCATAAAAAACATATAATGCATATAAAACAGCATTTTAACTTAGTCTTGAGACTATTACCAATAAATCAACAATATATTATGTGTGTGTGTGTGTGTGTGTGTGTGTGTATATATATATATATATATATATATATGCTGTTTATTAAAACCAAATCACATGAAAGTCTCATCAGGTTTATGCATTTTTAAATATTTATTGTAGATAAGTATTAATATTAGTATTAATGCACTAATTGCGTCAAGTACCATAATTTATCAAATAAAAAAATGTATAAATAAAATCTACAAATGTATAAATGCTTTTTTGTTACTTTTTACTTTTGTCACTTTAATTATTTATGTTTTGTTACTAAAACTTTGAAAAATTAAATATAAATGTCATTAATATCATTAATAGCTTTACTGTTACTTTTGATCAGTTTATTATAGCAATAGTCTTGGGACTATTAACAATAAACCAATATTAGAATATTTTTGTATGTTTATATTAACATGCTATTTATTAGAAAAAAACAAGTCACATCAAAATCAAATTTTTTAACATTTTTCATATTTATTGTAGTTATTTTGAATCAATGGCAAGTTTTGCAATTGCAATTTTCAAATGCAAAAAAAAAATAGAATTTATTGAATACAATTTACATATAGAGTTTTAACTAACAGATAAAATTTTGTTGCTACTTTTAATTGTTTAATTAATAATGTTTTGTTACTATTAAATTATTGTGAATTATTGTAAAAAAATTGTCAAATATAAAAAAAACAAACACATGCAGCAAAATAACACATTTATAGGTAAACAACGCAAATGTATTAACAGTTGCAGACCCAAATGTGCATATTAATTTAACCAAATTGTGTTTAATCTACATATCAGATTAAAATTTGTTTTAGTTTGATTTTAAAATTAAGATATACCCAAAAGCGAAACAAAAAATAAAACATTAGTGCCAAATTTCCACCAGTTTGATCCATTTAAAAGTCAATATCTATTCATTTATTCATTCATATATCAGCCAGTCATAGTGATGTGGAGGCACTACCTTCCTTCACAATTCATGCATTTTGTTGTTACAATAACATTTACATCTCATATAAAGATCTAAATGAGCGCACAGTGAGTTCAAGGGAGAAAAAATAAAGCACTGGCTTCTACTGAAACTAAATTCGCTAGTGTGGGTTTTGAGCACTGTCACTTTATATACAGTAAATGAATGGTTTATACATTGTTCCGAATGTTCGTTTGGTTTTATTCTTGTGCAGTCGGTTATTTTCTCAACCAAATTTGTTTGAAGAAACTAGAAAATGCTTTAATCCCCAGGAATGTTTTAATCCTAAAAAACTGACAATGTGGCAACTTTTTCTGCTATTGCTTTATTAACCATATCCTGGGGAGATGAATGTTAAATGTGATTACTCAGATCATTCATCATCTGGCTTATTAGACAGAAGAAATTAATGTTTTTCTGTGTCTCTCTCTCTCTTACTCAGTGGGCAGTTTGCTATCGTGAAGCGCTGTAAAGAGAAGAGTACGGGTGTGGAATATGCTGCAAAGTTCATAAAGAAGCGGCAGAGTCGGGCGAGCCGGAGAGGCGTTCGGCGAGAGGAGATCGAGAGAGAGGTGGACATCCTACAGGATCTCCAGCATCCCAACATCATCACGTTGCACGACGTTTACGAGAACCGCACTGACGTGGTGCTCATCCTGGAGCTGTGAGTGAGAACACATCCTCCTACACCGTTTGTGAGCGCTACAATTACCCACTCGCACAGATGTCCTCACTCTATAGGGGCCATATCCTGAACCTTTTCATCTGCTTCCCTAAGCCAAATTCAAGGCTTTATGTAAAAAAAAAAGACAATTTAATTTACTCAACCACTTCCATTTTATCTCTATGAAAGCCTGTTTCCAACATGGCATAAAAAATAGATAAGATATATATCTATTATAAACATATAAATATATATAAATATGTAACTTTGTAAGGTCCGCGCACATGGCCCAAGGAAGGTACGCGTGGGCTCCACGATCATGAGATGTGGAGACAGATGTCTGTATGTTAATGCACTGTGTGTGTATTGTCTGTCTTAGAAGATCAAAGTGTCTGAGGTTCTGTAATTCTTACAGTAAACATAGAACTGCAAGATATAAAGTCAGAATTTTTTTCTCAAAATTGCGAGATACAATCTTGCAATTGTGAGTTGTAATGCCAAAATTGCTTAATATAAATTCGCATTTGTCAGAAATAAAGTCAGAATTGCAATTCTTGTAATTCTCTTGTCTTGTAATTGATTTTTCTTGCTATCTCAAAATTCGGACTTTTTTTCTAGCAATTCTGAGAAATATATCTAGATATAAATAAATATATATCTGAGAAATATATAAACGTAGAATTGCGAGATATAAACTTGAATTTGTGAGTTATAGGGCCCTATTTTAACGATCTAAACACATGGTCTAAAGCGCACAGTGCAATTGCACTTAGGGCATGTCCGAATTCACTTTTGCTAGTTTAAGGATGGGAAAAATGCTCGGCGCGCCCGGCACATGGTCTAAAAGGGTAATCTCTATTCTCTTAATGAGTAATGGGTGTGTTTTGGGCATAACGTGCCATAAACCAATCAGAGTTGCATCTCCCATCCCCTTTAAAAGCCAGATGCGCTCGCGCCATGGCGGGTTCGCTATTTACATGGCGGAATTACATTTTTCATTTTTTAAAATGTTTGTGTGCTGCTGCGCGTCCCTGTGTGTGTAATATGCAAAGTGTACGCATGTTGTGCTCCCGCCTATAGGCGCATATTACTAACGCGCTCTTTAAATAACAAAGAAAAAATATTGCGCCAGACTTTAGACCAGGTTTTGTTGGTCAATGACACAGTCTATTTCAATTGCCTCAAAATAGCAACGTGCCAGCAATGCGCCTGAACACACCTCGTTTTCAGACCAGCACGCCCATGGGCGCAAATGCATTTGCTATTTAAACAACGTGGCGCAGGATGTGAAAATCACAACTGCGTCGGGCTGAAACTAGCAAAAAACACTTGCGCCTGGCACCGCATTGCGCTGGGTGTATGATAGGGCCCATAATGTCAAAATTGTGAAATATAAACACTCAATGATGAGTTATAAAGCTATAATTGCGGAATATAAACTCACGTTCTTCAGAAATAGTCAGAATTGACTGTTCGCAAAGACCCGCCCTCCTTAGTTACTGTTGCTATCCCCGACAAACAATGCCGCTCTCACACTACAAATCATGTTCTCGCGCAATGAAAAATACATCGCAGAGCAAAGAGGAAACTGGCAACGTGCAGACAGACAAGACAGAGCAGGTTACTTCTGGTGTCAAACAAGGTCTCAGGACTCTCAGCTTTCAAATTTTGTAATTTTTTAATTAATTCAAACAATAAATACCGTTTTGTGGCTCTTTAATGTATTGTAATGTAACTGTATTGCCTCAGTTTAAACACGTGAATCGATCGTCTTTTCATATTTACTTAAAGCACGAAATGAGCATAAATAAACATCAAAAAGTATTTAATTTAATTTAATTTATATTTTATGCGGAACACACCATTTTTTTAGTTTAAGTCCACCGAAGTTAATCTACTCCTCTGTCTCATTTGTGGTTAAGGCTAGAAGGGATACATCTGCAGTTACTGGGCATGCTCATTTACATATTTTCCCAGCCAACAATATAACGTGAAACCTATGAAAATGGTTTTAAATAGCACATGGCGCCATAGTTTCATCACTTTAGAGGGGATTAACAGGATTTTGTCAACAGAATGATGAGCACACGTTTTAACATATTATTTTATTATTTAACACTCAGTATTTTAACTTAAAGGGGTCATATGATGCGATTTAAATTTTTCCTTTCTCTTTGGAGTGTTACAAGCTCTTGGTGCATAAAGAAGATCTGTAAAGTTGCAAAAGTATCAGTTCTTACGACAACAGGGAGTGTGAATGATTTGTTGCTTAAAAGGGCAAAATGTTCAATATTTACCCGGGGATTACTTTGAAGCGTGTGGGGACATCCTGAACTGCGGTGGCCTGATTCACCGCAGTAAAGACACAGTTGTTGATATCGTCTTCGTTCTCTTTCACTCCTCCTTTTAGGAGTTTGTCTCATGAGGTTATCGATCCTGATGGCGAGGGTGACAAAATCGGAGAAGGAGGACTCCTCACCCTTGCATGCAAGTTCTGCTTGAAGATCGCAGTTGAGACTTTTGTGGAACATAGCTTTTAAAGCGACATCGTTCCATCCACTCTGGGCAGCGAGTGTTCTGAATTCAATGGCAAACTCAGCAGCGGGACGATTACCTTGTGTCAGATTGATGAGCTGTGTCGAAACGTCCTTTCCGCCGTGTGGATAGTCAAACACCTCACGGAGTTGTTGAATGAAGTATGTCACTGAATTCCTCAAGCGTGAATCTGAGTCCCAAACGGCTGCAGCCCAGTCGATAGCTTTGCCCGTCAACAGTGTCATGATGAAAGCGCATTTTTTGCCCTCTGATTCGAATCTCTCTCCTTGATGATCCAGATAAACTTGTACTTGGCGAATGAAGCCCTTGCATTGCTCAGCGGTACCGTCAAATTTGTCAGCACATGGACTGGTCTCAGTTTATATGAGCGTCAAACAAGAAGTGAAATTAGAGGAAGCAGAGGGAGTGGAGCACGGTCAGTACTCAAAATAATGTGTTTTTTGAACATTAAAGCATGTCAAAATATTCTGTTACACCAAATACACAAAATAATGATCTTTAAAATAGCATCATATGACCCCTTTAAGAGCTGCAAGCCATGCATACAGCGCTGGACATGACAGGTTTTCTGGTATGCAAAACAAGTACTTTAAAGGAATTTCTTAGCTTATTGCCGTTACTGTGGCAGCCAACAACAGCACAGCTTAACCCTGCGCACATTTTTATATTTAGTTATATTGAAAAAGTTTCAATTCAGTCGATCTTTTTTTACCCCGTTTTAACATGGATTTCTATGGAGACCAGCCGTAGATGTCGGGCAAGATGGCGAATAGCAGTGGCTGCACATAATATCCACGTTCTGATTAGTCAGATTGCCTGTCAATCAAGCTCCTTGCAAACGGTCAATTGCAATTCAGACTTTTTTCTCGCAATTGCGAGTTTATATCTCAAAATTCTGAAATATGTATAGAAATATGTCTATACAAAGAAATATATATCTGAGAAATATATAAACAGAATTGCGAGATATAAACTCAGAAAATTGCGAGATATAAACAAATTTGTGAGTCATAATGTCAAAATGGTGATATAAATTGCGAGTTACAAAGCCATAATTGCAGGATATAAACTCGCAATTTTCAGAAATAAAGTCAGAATTGCATTTCTGGATTTTTTTCTCACATTTGTGAGTTTATGTCTTGCAATTCTGACTTTTTTTCTCGCAGTTGCAAGTTGATAATAAATTTGCAATTGTGAGTAAAAAGTCAGAATTTAGAGATAAAAAGTTGCAATTACCTTTTTATTTTTTATTCAGTGACTGAAACAAGCTTCCATATATCTCTGACCCTTAGAACTAGAAAAGGCTGTTTTTATTACCGCACCTGTAAGATTTCTTAATGTACAGTAAATGAAAAATCCATCAAAATATTAGCTGAATTTGAAGGCCATTTTCAGAAATGTGATAGGAAATCCATTAAAACTATAACAAACTAGGTTGTACATTCAAATCAATGCGAGCTACTGCTTTATTTCAAGTGCGAGTCCTCAAATGACATTGCTCTTTAGTTGACTAATGCCTGCCACACTCTTCCAAGAGCTCTTACTCAATGCTGTTTGAACCAGTAGTTCTCTACTTCAGTCTCTTAAGACTTTCTCGAAAGAAGGCTTACCATCTAGTCCTGAACTATAACAGCTGTTTCAGCTACCATTAAACATAACAAACATCTGATTCATTGGATCGGGTGCATTAGAGGACAAAAAAAATGGCTGCATGGTGCAGTCTGCATCCCAATTCACATATTCTCCATCCTAAATAGTATGTGGCATCAGGATTAGTGTGTCCCAAATCATTGTACATTGTAAACATTATGCCAAAGGTGCCAAGATGGCATATTACTTCCACTGGATTTCCATACTTTTATGGCTAATATTACCCATGACCCCTTGTGCTATGGAATGGGAGCAGTTTAAACTTCCACGGCCTGCGTGTTTGTCATTCTCTGAATGTGTTGGGGAAGCTGTAGTAAATGTCAGTGCTCTAGAGTTGCTGGGAGGCCCAGCTCAGGTTTACCATGACTGTAATGTGTGCATGGGAGCGTAGAAGCTCAATTAGGGCTAACTGTGGCCTGAATGCAATCAGAACTGTGACTGAATGGACTGTCTGTGACTGTCAGCTGCTCTGCATTTTAAGTGATCTTTCTGGATTAAATACTCGGGCTTCAAAAAGGAGACATAGTGTACTTGTTCAGCTGTGCTGATATGTGACTACAGAAATGTCTGTGAGTGTATGGGAAAGAGATTTCTGCAGAGCTACGATAAAGTGGTTTGATGCTAATGATAAAAAGAGCTGTACTAAGCTGTTTTAAGAGCTGCTGTGGTTAAATGTCACAGAGGAAGTTTACTAGTCTATTTTATTGAGATGAACCTCTCTGTATGTGTGAGATATACAGGTGCATCTCAATAAATTAGAATGTCGTGGAAAAGTGAGCCAAAATCATCACAATTAAAAGAACCAAAGACTTAAACTACTTCAGTCTGTGTGCATTGAATTTATTTAATACACGAGTTTCACAATTTGAGTTGAATTACTGAAATAAATGAACTTTTCCACGACATTCTAATTTATTGAGATGCACCTGTACTGAGTGCACTGGGTGCACTCTGTCAGGAGGCCATTTTTGTTTAGATTAATAAATAGATTTTAACAATGATTGTAGGATTGAGCATTTTTCCTCAGCTTTATTAGAAATATGCTTTATTAGAAATATTCAAATAATTAAATTGCAATATACAAATAATGTCCAATTATAAAAATAGCCACAGGGATGAATGAATGAGTGAACATACATTAAACAGATAAATTAGTATTAGTAGTAATAGTATGAGTAAACGTAAAAGTATAAATGTATGAAAAAATAAATATTAATCTAATAATCAGTCAAGTTAGATAAGTAAACATGAATTAAATGCATATTGTATAAAATATTATGTAATTATCAATATTACATTGATAAATAAATCAGTTCATCAAACAAATATTTTATTAATGCTTCAAAAATGTAGTTTTTTTCTCAACCAACTTTATTAGAAATATACATCACTTACATAATTAAATTACAATATACAATATGATATCCAATTATTAAAAAAAGATGCCACAGTGATGGATGGATGGATAAAATAATAATTACATAAATTAAAGTCAATAAGTATCTACATAAATAAACATGAATTAAATGCATATTATATAGGCTACATACACTGATAAATAAGTAAATAATTAAATGTTTTTCAAACAAAACGCATTTTAAGCTATTTTTCATGCTTTGAATTTTTATCTCATCATTATTAGAAATATACATAATTTAATACAATACAATATCCAATTATAAAAAAAGTGAAAATGTCACCGGGAAAAATAAATAAATATGAAGCAGCTAAATGGATATTAATCAGATAAATGAGTAAGTAAATGTCAATCAGATAAATATTAAATAGATAAGTATTTGTTTATTTATTAAACAAAAAAAAAATTGTTTAAGAAATGTAATGCTTTATTATGACATCAACTGATTACAACCGACAGCAAATTTAAAGTCAGCTTCTTACATTGGCTGCATGACTGCATCTTTGAATATGTCTGTTGGTTTGCGTGTTAGACAGGCAAACCACTTCTAACCAATGGAAATATCATTTTTCAGTGTTTCAGGAGGCGAGCTCTTCGACTTCCTGGCTCAGAAGGAGTCGCTGTGTGAAGAGGAAGCCACAGAATTCATCAAACAGATCCTCAACGGAGTTCAGTACCTGCACTCCAAGAAAATTGTACATTTTGACCTGAAGGTACAAAACAAGTTTTGTCCATAATTAGTCATAAATATTTCCCTTTTGAGCTGATTTACTACACCACGCCTGTCTGAGAGATCCGGAGTCAGTCGTATAGCTTCCTATAAATGGCTTGGTTGTGGAGGCGAGAAACAGCTATAATGGTCGCCATGGCAACAGTTTAGCTCTTCCTCAAGCAGAGGTGAATTGGCCTTTTCTGAAGAACAATCGGGTCTGTTGCGTGGCAACACCTGAAACTTTGCATGACAAAATAGCTATTCACTTTTCTAAGACCTGCCATTGTACTGTTTCTTGGGAATGCATACATGACCCCGTTTCTGTCAACCGTCTGGAAATTCCTTCCTTTCACTCTTTTCAGCTTCCTCTCCTAATGACAGCTCTAACTAATCGCTGTGCTGAACACCGTCCCATCATGGGCTGAGATTGTATGTGTGTTTGCACCCCATTCCCATGTTTTTCGTCCCGGCTGGCCTGGGTCCAGACATTCTAACACAAGGTTATCAGCGGCACATGATGAGACATGTCACCCACGCTGTTCTCTGCCATAATCTCCAACCTGTTTTTACAAGTGCTGCATCTCCATTGTCGCCAGCGCACGCTTGAGCTCTACAAGGCCAGCCGGAGACACTAAAAAGATATTACTTTAGCTAACTGCTTCTCTTGCTCCAGTTAGTACATGCTAACTGCTATGTAAACAAAACGTACCATGCTGAAATAATTGGTAGCCTATTAGTCAGGACATAACAGTGACTAATTGCAGTAAATCACTGGATATTCACTTAGCATTAAGGCCTTTTTACACAAACACGAATGTTCGGCGCAAATGTATTTATATGCTAACTGCTATGTAAACAAAAACAGCTGTTCATTCAAATGGATGCATTTATCTTACTGAATATTCATCTTCATCTGTGAATAGGCTCACTCAATGGTATTACCCAGATAGCACACGTACGTCTGCAAGATGTCTGTTAAAGATTGCTTGATCTGGAAAGCATCTGCTGTGTACAAACATCTGACAGATGTCTATAAGATATCAGTTTTACATACATTCTAAATCATAAAATCTTAAAGACATCTAATATATGTCTATTTGACATCTGATAGGAAGCGTCCAACAGACATATTGCAGATGAGCAAACACTAAAAAATACGTCTTGCAAATGTCATATAGACATCTCCGTGATGTACGTGTGCTATCAGGGAACTTTCATAACTATATTTCGCTTACTTCAATTAACATTCCTAAAAATAGCTAATTTAGCTAACAAAGATTTAGAAAGTAGCCATTGACTAATTAGGTTACTGGATATTAGCGTAACATAACTCCCTCTCTTGCTCAAAACATATGCTAACTGCTATTTGAACAAAAACTTGTCATTCTATGCTTACGAAAGAGTTGTTAATAAAAAGTTATTTTAGCTAACAGCTAAATTCAGTGATTTGGGAAGTAGCCAGCTCACTGAATATTAGCTTAGCTTAGCATAACACACTCTCATGTTCAAAATAACATATGCTAACTGATAGCCTATGTAAACAAAACATGTCCTGCCTCACAAAAGAAAATAACTATTTTAGCTAACAGCTAAATTCTGAGATTTAATATAGCCACTAATTAGGTCACTGGATAAGCTCCGACCTCCGGAGGACACAGCCTCCAAAATGAGACGCAGCTATGTCTCACACTCAAAAAGATATTAGCATAGCATAACTTTCTTAGTCAAAACATATTTACTGATAGGTTGAGAAAACGCACCATCACAAAATGATTGTTTCTAAAAAGTAGCTAATTTAGCTATCAGCTAAATTCAGAGATTTCGCAAGTAGCCAGTAAATAGCTCACTAACATAGGCCTATATATAGTTTTCTCGCCTTTCTTTTCACATTGATTAGGAGGCAAATCTGTACTTCTACATCCTAGACATGGCACAGTTCCTACAGGAACATGGTGTGTGTCCTCCTCCACACTTGAAGTCAGCTGGATGCCTCTTTTCACCTCTTGAGTATGTAGAGGCATTAATATGGGAACATAACAGGTGTTGAGTCCCACACAACGTCCCTCAGAATTACATGAAACCTTCAGCCACTTCATCAGCATGCAAACTGCTGAGGTGGAGGTTAACGTTGATTAGCCAGACACACATATGACAAGTAGCATTTGCTGAGATGGACTTGAAAATAGAAAGCTTGTATTTCCATCGCTGTTTTCATTGTCATGGACAATACAAAAATGGTTTGCAAGGCTACAATGTGTTTTGTGAACTCAAGATGTTTCAATTTCACATTTTCTCCTTTCAGTTACATTTTCCTCCTAATTTAGTCGCATAGAACTGAAGTGTTTCCCACTTGATTGTAGAATTTAGTTTTTTTAGAACTATAGATCATGTAAATGTATAATATAGAACAAACAATATCCAGTTATAAAAATATCAAACATTCCATGGGGAAATTAAATTAAATTACATTTTAAATTAAATATCAGCCAAATAATTGAAATTATGAATCAGATAATCAAGTACATAAATATGAAATTAACAGTTCACATAATCGTTTGAAATGTAACCAAATGTAGGAATAAACAAGAATTGTGAATAATTAATGACCAGCTCAATACCGTCATACAGTGACACTCATAATGTCAATGGAAATGTAAATTGATTAAATTTAATTGCTCAGGGTTTTAATTGGAAATTTATTTGGTTTTCAGCCTGAAAATATCATGCTGCTGGATAACAATATCCAACTGCCGCGGATTAAACTTATCGACTTTGGTTTGGCGCATAGGATCAAGGACGGAGTGGAGTTCAAAAACATTTTTGGGACTCCAGAATTTGTTGGTAAGTTCAACAGTTCATGATGTAAAATGCAAAGTAAGTGTCAGATGCTGAAAATCTCTACCATCTTTGGACATCCCACATGGTTGTTTTGAATGAAATGTATAGCTGATGCCTCTAACCTGGTTTATTTTCAGCTCCAGAGATAGTCAACTATGAGCCTCTGGGATTAGAGGCGGACATGTGGTGAGAACTCTTTTAAGCACATCACGCTTTGTACTTTACATACAGTAAGCGTCAATACTCGACTATGGCTTAACCATGTGCTCTCTTCCACCCCTCTGTTTCCTCCAGGAGCATCGGAGTCATCACATACATCCTGTGAGTGTGAATGGAGGAATGTGGATTCCTTCTTCTCTGACAGGACATCCAGACATTCATAGACATTCCACAGAATGATTGATAGATTCCATTGAGTTCCATACACAGGTCACATGCTGAACAAAACTATTGATGAAGCACACTGGTGAATAATGAATGAGAGGTTCTCATAATGGGACACAATAATGCTACACCCATTGCCAAAGTGAATATGATCAGGATTCTTTTATTATTCCTAATAATGTTCATTTCCATAAAGGGTGTAACATTATTTTTTATTAATGAGATGAATATCTGATCACACCCAGGATACTCAGTTTATGCTCAGTTTGTAGGTCGTTTTTGTTTAGATTAATAAATCTGACAATAATTTTGTAGAACTGAGATGATTTTCTCTCTCAACGTCTTTATTTGAAATATACATCACCTACATTTTAAATATAGTAGAATAAACAATATCCAATTATAAAAATAGTTTAAAATGCCCTGTGATGCAGTAGTTTATGGAATAGTTTACAGTTGCAATAGTTTAAAATGACACTGCCATTCAAACGTTTGGGGTCAGTGAGATTTTTAAAATGTTTTTGAAATACAGTCATTTATAATTAATGATTATATTCATAATTATAATAACTAAATATTTTTTGTAAATGTAATTATTAAAAAAGTATTATTAAATAAGTATTATTAAACAAATAACTAAGAATTACTAATAAACAAATATGTATTATTAAATAAAAACTGAATAAGTATTATTAAATAATTATTTTTAAATAAATAAATATTGGGCAGATAAATTAATATAAATGACAGGTATTAAATAAATATGGAATTAACATGAATGTAGCAATAAACCATAAAAGTGAATAATGAGGGACAGGTTGAGCCTTGGGCTGTCAGACAGTGGCACCCATACTGTTACACCCATTGCCAGTATGAACATAATTATGGCACTTAACAGCTGTCTGATACATGAACTATGGGAGCACGTGTTTGGATTCCACTGTCGGATCAGTTTCAGGAATTAATTAACAGGAATTTCCAATGTGCTTCCACATAGGTCAAGTATTTGTCTTTCTGTTTCAGATTAAGTGGGGCATCGCCGTTCCTGGGCGACTCCAAGCAGGAAACTCTTGCAAACATCTCAGCAGTGAACTTTGAATTTGATGAGGAGTTCTTCTGCAGCACCAGTGAACTGGCCAAAAGCTTCATCAGACAGCTGCTGGTGAAAGATACGAGGTGAGAGGTCAAATCAGGGTTCAGCCGAAAAGAGAAACAGCAGTGAAGGCTTCAGCAAGACTTTGGGGCCTTTTTGGGGGGAACAAATGAGTCTAAGTGGGATTTGTTATTCTTTTCAAATGGAAAAAACAGGAAATCCCAGTTTTATGTAGTTTTTTTATAAGCACATACATCAAAACAATAGGATTCTGTCACTGGCCTTTTTAATTGACACTATTGGGCAGGTATGAGCATGCAATTTTCATTACTGCCACATTTAATGCTAAATATTCTGTATCTGTCATGTTCTACGATGACGTCTCACAGATCAAGTGTTTATTAAGGCATGCGTAGACTTGCTACGTATATGTCTAAATTAAGTTTCTACCTTACATCTCTCTCAGTTTCTCTGTTTTCTTTGTCTTTTGATGTTTTGAAGTTGTTCTTTTGCATTTACCTTCAGTTTGCTTTGTGTTTGTTTTCTTTGCAGAAAGAGGCTTAAGATACAAGACGCACTCAACCACCCCTGGATTAAGGTAACCACTTGGATTAAGTCGGAAACATGCACAGTTGAAAACATGTTTATCTACTCTTGTGGCTTTTTTGAAATGAATGCTTCTTACTGCCATTATACCATACACAAGTGTTGAACTTTACTCTGCTGGTTTGTACAGAATGAACTGACCTCGGGTTTTACACACATCATTAAGACACATATGGCAGCTGTAATATCACATATGCCTCTCTCTATTCTACATGAATTATAAAATTATAGGCAAAGTTCACCCAAAAGTGAAAAGTGTTGTCATTTACTCACCCTCATGTGTTTCAAGCTTGTATGACTTTCTTTATTTCTTCTGTCCCTGTTGATAAAACCAGCATATGCTGGTTAGGTATGTTTTAAAGCATGGAAGCTGGTTTGAGCTGGTTTAAACTGGTTATAAGCTGTTTAACAGCTGGTCCTGAGCAGGAGCTGCTTAGGACCAGTTTAAGACCAGCACATGACCAGCTGAAACCAGCTTATAACCAGCACATGATCAGCTCAAACCAGCTCATAATATGCTTATAACCAGCTCAGGACTAGCTTAAACCAGCTCATGACCAACTAAGCACCAGCTTAAACCAGCATACGCTGTTATTTTCAACAGGGGTGGAACACAGATGAAGATATTTAAGAAGTGTTTTATTTTTGTCCATACAGTGGGGTCCAATGTTGCCTTGGACCCTGTTAACTTTCATTTAATTGGAAAAAAACAGTTGAAACATCCCTAAAAAGACTTAAAACTCCTTAACATGACACAAGGGTGAGTAAATGATGCCAAAAGTATCATTCTTGGGTGAACTATCCCAAATCCAAACAGCAAATCCTGGTATTACCTTGTTGGCCAACTACTAGATGCATGTATGCATGCAAGTCTTCATAATGGAAGCAATCGCATGTTGATGAATTCTTCTAATCGACGACTGAATCCTGTGTGTACCATGCTGTTCTCCTCATCCTAACATCCTGAGACCAGCATTAACTCCTCCTGCCTGGATCTGCTGCTTACCTGTGCGAGAGTTGAGTGCTTTGTCATCCTGGTGAAAAAGCGAACTAGCTTCTTACTCGTTCTTCCTCCTAATTTCTCTATGCGAAGAACCACGAGCAGCCAGAGGACAACAGTGCCACCGTAGAGGTGCAAACACAAGTGGAATCGCAGCAGCTGAATACCAAACGCTTGAAAGAGTACACCATTCAATCCCACTCCAGCATGCCACCCAACAACACCTATGTCAACTTTGAGCGTTTCGCCAATGTTCTGGAGGACATCTCGTTGGTGGAAATGGGTCTCGAAAATGTGGCTCAGAAGCGTGAATCCCTTCAGGATGATGTTGAGGCTCTGCTCTCCATCTACAGTGAGAAGGAAGCTTGGTATAAAGAGGAAAGCGAAAGAATTCGGCAGGAGCTCTCGCAGGTGCGCTACGAGTTTCGTAAAGCGGAGGCGTTGAGGAAAGGCCTCCAGGAGGACTTGAGGACAACCGACAACAGCTTAGCCAGCATCGACAGTCGCTACCTGACTAGAGAAGCCCACCTGAGCTCCCTCAGACAGGAGCTGAACGCAGAACTCAGATGGTTGCAGGAGGTTATGGGGTCACTAAGCGGAGAGGCTGGGAACAAGGGGTTCGGATCCATTTCAGCTCTGAACAATGAGGTGAACGAGGCCCTGAAGGAGCTGCTAAGCAGGGCCTGTGGTGGCGATCTACATCCTCAAGCGCAGCCAGACATCTCTGAGTCTAGCTAGTGGAGATTAGACTGCAGTTGCAATACAATGAATTAGAAGCAGGATGTGAATTCAGAGGCATAGCTGATAGAGTAGCAATGTTAACCACTGTAAAAAAAAAAAAAAAGATTCTGTTTGTCTAGGGTGACCATACATGCCATTTTCCCAGGACGCGTCCTGGCCAGGATTTGTTTTGGCTTTGTTTTCCTGTTTTCATGCTTGCTGAAGGTAATGATCGAAAAGTAGTTTGACCAATAACATGCAAGCATTGTGCATAATGGACCAATCATGGCGTGTGAGAAGGTGGGATCTACGGTCAAAGCGATGCAATTACGCGTACATATTAGGTGTGTTCGATTTAAAAGCAGTGCGGCTCAGACCGATCAGTGTTTGACATCAAAGTACCTCGAGAGCGTTTCGAAAGCATAACCGTCTGTATGGTACTTTGATGTCATACACCGATCGGTCTGCACACGCAAACAAAGCCAAAACCTAGATATTTTAGGCAATATAGAAATCCTGGCCAGGACGCATCCTGGGAAAATGGCACATATGGTCACCCTAGTTTGTCCCTTAACATTTTGGGCAATAGTAATATTTTAAAAGCTTTAAAGATTTATTTAAAAGAATATTTCACCCATTTACTCATGCTCATGTCATTCCAAGCCTGTATAGGAATACAAAAGAAGATATTTTGAGAAATGCCACAGTATTTTGTTGTCCAGTCGTAACAAAGAATGTTTGGTTACGAACATTCTTCAAAATATCTTCTTTTGTGTTCTACAGAAGAAAGAAAGCCTTACAGGTCTAAAATGGCATGTGGGTAAGCAAATAATGACAGAATTTGGGTGAACTTTCCCTTTAAATTCTAAAGACCTTTACTGAAGCCTAATTAATATTCATAAGCTAGGCTGATAAGGTTAAAAATGCCTATGGCCTTGGCGCCAATAGCCTCGTGGGCAGCTCGCCAACATATAGCGCTGTTGCGCTTCGGGCATCCTGAGTTTGAGTCCTGGCTTGCAGACCTTAACCTTCAGAACAGAACATTAGTTTGAGACACTTTTGAGACGTTTGGAATTAAATTTGCTGTACCTGCAAAAGTCAGAGTTTAAAATTGTGTTGTTTATTTGTAACTTGTTTTGTATATACTTTATACAGTGGTGTGAAAAAGTGTTGGCCCCCTTCCTGTTATTATCTTTGTGTAATATTTAAATTTGTTTGATGATCTGAAACATTAAAGTGTGACAAACATGCAAAAAAATAAGAAATCAGGAAGGGGGCCAATACTTTTTCACACCACTGTACCAAAATAATTAGGTTATGCACATGCTGGTGCTCTACTACAGCATTCAACAGCATTCTTTTGCATTCACCATATTCATCAATATGGTTGATCTTGTCAGTGTTTCTTTCATTTCTTTCAAAAACATTCTTTCTTTGAACAGTAATAGTGATAAGTTGAAATGATGTCAGCCTTTATGATTTCATTCCATCTTTATGCATGGGTTGTTTTTCTTTTGTTTACAGATGCCATAAATATGATTTTGGCCATAAATTGTAACTTTTCCTTTCTTATAAGCAGTTTAAAAGTTCTCTAATTTATTTGTGAATGTACCTATTTAAAGCACTACATGCTCATTGCCGGTTTTAATTTAACTTTTCTTTCTTGCACATGTAATTCTGTGTATATTCCTGTTACTTTATACTTTAATTTCGATCAAAAAGTCATATTTGTTATATGTGTATTGATTTGTGAACATCAGCACTTGGACCTTTTCTTCAGCACGTCATGCCAGCATGCTGCTTGACATAAACAGTGATGTTATTTCTTTCCATACTTAATAAAGCACTGGATGATGATGATTACAGTACATACCTCACACTGATCATTAGTCCTGCAGCTGGCTGTGGTGCATTGTGGGATGGAAAGAGATGAACTATACTCAGTCCCTCAGGGGTGTGTGTTTCTTGGAACTTGTGCAATTATGTGTTAAGGCATCACTTTTAATATTGCTCATACTTAGGGCTAGGACTCTATTGTGAACGCTGTCTGTGCTACAGATATGATATCTCAAATCATGTGGTTTATTGAAGAAAGGTGTGCTATTCATTTTATAAACAATCAGACTTAAGATTTTTCACCTGGTAGTTGATAAACTGGGGAAATCCAAAGATTGTATTGAACGGTTATGACACTGTGATTGTTTTTCCTTTAGCCCGTAAACCCCAGACAAGCCCTGGTGCGACGACAATCTGTGGTGAACATTGAGAACTTCAGGAGACAATATGCCCAGAGGAGGTGGCAGGTAGGTCTTGTTCATCGCTTTGCCATCAAAATGCTAAATGCCTATGGAAATAGTGCTATATGTGTCCCCGATGAATTCTTACAGATAATTTTAACATGTTTTCCTGCACTTTCTGTTCAATTCTGTTGGGACATGGGGAGTGGGACAGTGGCTTTTTGAGGGTTCTCTTATGGTAGCATTTTTGGACGCGAACAAGAATACTGACTCTATATATGGCCTGACGCAATTATATTTTCTAGCTAAAGCTGTTATTAGACATTGTACCATTCAGCCCTGTAGTGCTTAGCCCTAAAACATTTTGAATTTAACAGGGTTAGGGTTAAATTTGAGTTTTTTTCCAACTTAATTTGTGAATTTATTTATAAGACACATGGAAACTGTGATACTACTAGAATTTACTCATGTATTTGTTAAAATTATAAGCATATGCATTTCAGTCTTACTATGATGGGGTTGAAATAATGTGGTATTTTAGGGTCATTATCAGTAATTCAAAACCACTTCAGGGTCTGTAAGATTTTTTTAATGGTTTTTTTTTTTAATAAGTCTCTTTTGCTCACCAAGACTGTATTTACTGTATCAGAAATACAGTAAAAAGCAGTAACAGTGAAATATTATTACAGTTTAAAATACCTGTTTCCTATTTCAGTATATTTTAAAATGTAATTTATTCCTGTGATGCAAAGCTACATTTTCAACATCATTACTCCAGTCTTCAGTGTCACATAATCCTTTAGAAATCATTCTAATATGCTGATTTGCTGCTCATAAAACATTTCTTATTTTCACTGATGAAAACAATTATGCTGCTTAATACTTTTGTAGAATCCGTGACATTTTTCATGATTCTTTGATTACCAAAGAACTGCATTTATTTGAAATATACATTTTTGTTACATTATAAATGTTCTTTCTGTCAATTTTGTTCAATTTAATGCATCTTTGCTGAACAAAAAAGTTAATTTCTTCCCATTTTTTTTTTGTAAAAATCTTACTGACCCCAAACTTTTGAACCTGCGTTTAGTCTAAAAGTTCCAAAATTAAGCTTTCTCCCTGCATTCCAATAGCTTTCTTTCAGAATCGTGGCCCTCTGCAACCACTTGACACGCATGATGAAGAAAGGTCACACTAAAACACAGGTATTTCATGGTCCCTGCTCAATTATACTCCATTAATCATTTCCAAAAAAGATAACTGTCTGGCTGTAGTACGTCCAGGAGTCTCCAGGCAAATCGTCAAATAATATGACCAATTAAACAATTAGAGTGCTTCTGATGTCTTACCCAAGATTCTGGCATGTTGGTATATCGGTCGAATCCCATTTCAGAAATGCATCTCAATATCATTTACAGGACAAACCCAAGATGGGCTACGTAGGTCGAACGGTGGCCATGTTCGAAAGAGAGTGCGAGAGCGATCAAGAGGAGGAGGGGATGCTGAGGAGACCTCGAACCAGGAAGAGAAGTAGCACTTCCTGAAACTCCCTGCTGCTCCTCCGATCATCCACAATATAAACATCCCAGCCGCATGCTGGTTTTGAGGTGAACCTGCGGCGTGTTTGGTGTTTCTAAACGCACACAAGCTGAGTTGTTTTTAGCAAGCGTGTTGAGGTCTGAATGTGGCTTGTTTGTCTTCATAGAGATGCAATTATTATTCGTCAGCATGTCTGTAAACATGATGCAAAAAGTGGCAAATATAGAAAGAAAACATTTGTTCATGTTGTTTAAAGCCGTGCATAAATGTATTAATGTACATAATGGGATAAGGAAGAGTTTACTGGATATATTACAAGTTTGTGTGTAAAGTTTACTTGTATAATGTTAAAATACGTACGTTTTAACGTCACTCGTGCCACTTTGCCTTGAGCCTTCGCTGTGTAATATGTGCCACAACATATTTGCATTCCTTTATTGAAATGTCTTCAGATTTTATTGCCTTTCAAAAGTGCATGAGTGATATAGCCAACTTCATTATTCTGTATGATATTTGTTAATTTTATGTTTATTGTTTTATTCCGCAGATTTTTGTCTCAAGGTGCAGTCACATTTACTGTTGTTTGGCGAAAGATTTTCAGACTTCGCAACAGGTTCAAGCTTCTCACGCAAATTAAATAAGCTGCTTGGTTTGAAAATTAGCTTTATATGGCGCTACTATTGACCGTTCACGATGGACTTGCGAAATTTCGCCACTGTGATCAGGAATTTTGTGTGCGTGTGAAAGATTTCCTGCAATTCACTGCAGTTATCAACCGAAAACTGCTTGGTTTGAAAGTGATTTTTAAGTGAAAAATTTGACTGTGACTGCACCTTTTTAAATTTGCATTTGACGAAGCAAGTCAGTGCGAAATGGGCTGGATTTGAGATCCAGTGTTATACTCAGTGTATTTGCGCTTAAGTGTATTAAAATTAGGTCATTTATCAAGCCTGAAAGTGACTTGTAAAGCTCTTAAGATATTAGTAATGTATTAGATGCCATTCATTTTGATTTCAAAAATGTATGTTTATTGAAATCAGGGCAGATATAATGCTACATCGTGTTTTTTTGGTGCATTGAAAAGTCCAGCCCTCTGTCAGGGAAGGACAAGCAGGAACTCCACCTATTGGTCAAACGTTTTAAGAAAATCACAGCTGCTTCAATGTAAATTGTTTGTAATACAGTGCCTTGAGCCTGAATGTGAGTGTTAGTATGCTTCACATACCTCACCATCAGAAGAGGTTGTATTCTGTATGAATGTATTCTGTACAATGGGCTTATAAATGAGAGGGCTCAAAAGTTCTCATTTTATTTCATTAAAACATTGTTAGAACAAATAAATCAGTAATGTTCTTTCTGCTAAAGTATTAAACCTTAATCGATTTTAAACCATTTTGCAGTGCATATTTATACATTACATTAAATATATTTGTTTATGTGTATAAACAGGACTATGTTCAATGCATGTTCATTTACAATTACATCACTCCCTGTGCACCAGTCACATGATTGCAGGTGTCCGGGGACAAAACAGTGTTGTTTACCAGTATAAATCTGCCAGATTTATACCAGAAGTGGAAAGTAATCAGAAAATGTGCCTCAAGAAAAAAATCCCTGTTTATTTTATACTCTTGATATGACACTGTACTTGTGTTGTTCACACTTAAAGTGAAATGAACAAAGTTTACTAAGAATAAAAAATGCCCCTTTTGTACAAGTATAGAAGTAATAAATTATTAATATATTTATTGATGTTCTTGTTTGGTTATTCATGATCCACTAATAAGGTCAGGAAATTGTAATTTAATAAGAATTTCATTAAATCTTCATGAGTTGCATCCTGGGATGCTTTTTAAAAGAGTATTGACAGAGTTCATGTGTGCTGACTAGATATTCTTAGTTATTATAGTAATAATTTTGTTAATATTATATAATAATAAGAAGAAGAATCTCTAAAATATTAAATGTTTGAATAATCCTTACATTAATACCTTGATTAATAATGAATACATTAATTATTACCTAATAATTGTACAATATATAGTTCGTTAATATATTAATAACCTTATCTATAATAATAAGAATAATATCTTACATATTAAATGTTTGATTCATACACTTTAAATAATTTATTAATAATAATATACATTTGTTGTAAAGAATGTATGTTTGTTTACACAGTTTTAAAACATTTCGTTTTTAAGATCTTGCAACACAAATTCTGTTAAATATGTAAACACGTTTGACTGGTATTGTACGTGAAATGACTGGTTGGTCTATCATTCATAGTCTGACTGCAATCAAACCTTTTGTGTCACAATCAGTCTGTTGGTGAGAGAAGTTTGTCCACGTCTCACAACAGCTGTGTTATTTGGGCTCAATTAGGCTGGATGCAGTTGTGGGTAAAACTTGACCTGAACTAAATAAACTGCTATTAGAGAAGTTGGCCAGTGGTAATGTAAAAGTTATCCGGTGGAAGAAGTGAACCCGTTTTTTTTTTGTTTGTTTTATCTCACCTGCCTAATCAGGCTGGACAGAGGAAGGAGTAGCTACTCTAGCCCTTTCACTGCCCTTACGAAAAAGAAGTTTATTCAAGTGTGCTATTAGTATACTTCTTTTAAACTAAAAATAGGAAAATATACTTTTAGTCTACTTTTTATGTACTTCTCATACTTACTACATAAAGTATACTTAAAAATATACTTGAACTTTACTTAAGTATACTTACTAAAATAAACTTGAAGTATATTACTTTTTGGTAAGGGTGGTGAGTTTAAAATATTCTAGCGGTCCCCCCAGAGTGAGTTTTTTTTAGGCGACCATTATTTTAGAAGTTTTCCCTTATTGTTTCCATGGCGACGCGTCATGTTTGTCACTTGACACACCGCGAACAGATGGATCGCTTTTATTTCCTTTTTCCTTTTTTATTCAAAATGACACACTGCGGCCACAATAACACTGTTTGACAGATGGATTGCTTTTATTTCCTTTTTTATTTAAAATATTCACAAACGTGCTTACCATGTCATGAACAATTTGATATTCCGATTCACAAATATGTGTAAATGTGTGTTTTTTTTGTCGTTTAAAAACCTTTATAAATTATCTTGATCGTGATCTGTAACGTGAGATGGGCGCCGCCATGTTTGTTCGCGCTGCAGTTCAGAGAGTCCTGTCAATCGATTATTTACCGCACGTAAATTCATCAATTTCTCCCGAAATACATGCAAGTGGCCGGTGAACTGGGAGAAGAATAGAATGAACTTTATAGTTACTTAGACTATGTGTATCTGATATTAATAAAACACGTCGGCAGGACCACTATCGTCAAAGATGATTGACAATTAGCATACAGTTTGGATTGGCGGTATGGTTCCATTCTGGGCAAGAACTCCCTGCGCATCCATGCAGCCTAGCATGGATGAGAGCAGGGAGAGCAGCAATAACCCCCCCAGGGTAAACAGAACAGAACCAACATAAATGTATTGCAGATATCGCTAAAGTTCAATAATGTTATGTACACATTTTAGAATTCAAAGGAGAATCAGAAGCTGAATCCTGACTGACAGAGGAGGAGCTGGGGATGGAGGAGGGTAATTAGCTATTGAGCAATGCGAAAACTGCTGATAATACTGAGGGACCTTATATATGAATGCTTAGATAGGTGTCGTATTCCCATAGGTTGATGGGGATCAGCTGAGAGTGAGCTGATGCGAGCTTGACTAACGTGACCTGCCAGAACTAACGCTACGCTTGATGTGGTTAAAAACACTGCATAGTTGTGATTATATGACAAGTGCAGCGGCGCCTCAGCATCAGCCAAAGCGCGAAAACGCAGTTTGAATTGGGCAGTTATGTGGCGTCACCGAACGTTCTAAATCCCATATGTGGGACCGTACCGCTCAACAGGCTAGAAACTGAACAAGTGTTTCCTTATTCTTGCCTTGCTATTTATGTGATTAATGTTTTGTTACGTGTTGCAATGGATTTTCGCTCATTTCACTCCTAATAATGAGCTGAATTTTGCCAAGTGTGTCAATAGTGTTCCATTTCAGACCATTGCCCTACATATTCAGTAATCCTTCATTATCCCATCCAATTTATCCTGGTAATGTACCGTTATGCCCAGCCAACATGTTATTCAATGAGATTCCAGAAGTTGTAAATGTCATAATGTCATTCAAATCAATAATGACTCACATTGGGTTGGTGTCTTTTGTTTCATTGAATATACTGATTGGGTTCTTGCCTGAAGAATTTACTGTCTTATTTATATGATAAGAGCTTTGGGGTGGAGCCTTTCTTCATTGTAAGTGTGTCATTTTGAGTTATTTTTGTTTCATCCAGACATTTCAACGATTGTCAATGATTCTTGAGGCTAGTTTTAAGAACGCCCTTGGTACGCATGCATACATTTCCACAGTCTTTCTAATAACTGCTGAAATCTGTTACTTTCCCACAAACTTTGAGCTGCTTTTTGGCCTTCAACTTGTCAGATTTCTGTTGAATTATGGAAGAAATCAGTAATTATGATGATAGCTCGCTAGCTTATCTTAGATGTGTTTCCAGTGTGCTGTTTTAAACAATGATAGCATCATTAAAGCAACTATTAACTGGCCTCGGATCAGTTTACTGATATCTGGTAACTGATATCTGTTATTTCTTATACACAAGAGATGAATTGCAGTTGCTGGAATGTTGCCGTAAGCTTAAGGTGGGTGGCTCAGGATTTCATTGCTTCTGTGAAATGTTAACATATGATAGCCTGTCTTTTGTTGCCCTAGGCCATGGCGTATTGTCTTTAGCAAATCTATAGTCCTAAAACTATGAGTTATTGTTTAGATAAGAACTTGTACATATTTCCACCAATTATTTGCATGTGACCTTGTAGCCTATATCTAGATCAAACACACCTAATTACTTAAAAGGGCCTTTGGGTTTCGAAGACATCATAAATTATATTTCCATTCAAACACAGTCAAATCTTGCTAACTGTGAAATTAGGCTATGTTAACCTACCGTGTGAAGTGAAATATTAGCCTACCAAGATAAACAAAAGTCAAATTGCCTTAGGCCCATACAAATAATTATACAAATATTATATAGCTTATGAGCTCTCAGTAAACGCGTCAGTTATCACTAAAGTGATGCGTAACATGAGGTGTCACGATAAAATTTCATTGTACAGCTGTACAATGACAATAAAAAGCTATTCTATTCTATTCTATTCTATTCTATTCTATTCTATCATACCCAAACATCAGCACACACCATAAGTGTGATAATTGTAATAACAGTGCCACCTTGTGGTTAGATATTGTATCTCCCATATTTCAGTACACCAACGCTTGAGTACTAGCACAAAATAAACTGATTTATGTGCAAATTAATTCATTATATGTTTTTGTTCATGTTTGGGTGTAATCGCATAGGCATACTTCTTGCATTTTCTAAAAAAAAATATATGTTTTTGTCTTGGCCTCTCACTCAAACACTGGTAGATAGTGTCAAATGTATATCATATTTATAGCAATCTTCTATGAATGCATGAATGAATAGATAATGGTTTCTAACTGATTTTCAGTTCCTATTGGTTGTCCCCAGAGTCAGACAGAAAATCTTATGTTTTATCAAAAATGTTTGTTTTCTTAAGTTTAATATATTATATCTAGCCTATATAATGTGATTAATGATCTGAAGATAGTTGATAGTTGGAAGATAGTATGTATGACATAATTTTGACCAAATAAGAAAGAAATCGAACCTCTAGTAAAGACATATTAAGGTATATTAGCTCGTTTTGAAAATACATTTCCATCTTGGGGAAAAATCCCTGTGCCAGAAGACATTCTGTTCAATAACTTATCACTGAAACCATTACAAATGTCTCCCTCTGTTGGCCAAAACAGGTGGCGCATGATTAAATCACCGAGGGGTTTCCCGCCGTTCTTAAAAGCGCGAATTTCTGCAGGTCACGAGACTAGCGGGTTTCGGGTCGGGGACATTCATCGTGAGAGACGACTTCAGCTTTTAAAACTTCATTCTCGTCGTGTGTAGCAGTATTACTACACAGGTAATTTAACATTGGCAAGTGGTTTAAAAAATTTACAGCAAAACAGCCATGGTATGTTTATATACGGTATTGTGTTTCTTTCTTAAGTGAGAGCCCCAAACATATGCGAGATGTTTGTTAAGATTTCACAGGTGCCTCGCGTTCTCCTTACCCAAAACCTTTGTATTCAGCCCAGAAAAGACTAATGGTTTTGATTATTGTATGATGTATTTATGGAAAGGTTACATTTTTAAGGATGTAGAGTGCCTTACAGGTAAGCTGTTGATTCAGAAATGTTCATTTCAAACCAGGCAACAACAAAATAAAATGGAACAGAGGGTTTATATAAGAACAGAACATGGGGAGCCACTAATAGGTACACAGGATCTCTGGGAAACACTTGTGTGATCCAGCTTATTGGGCCGCACTGCAAACCATCTGGACGTGGGCAGCATGCTAGTAGGCTAAGCAAATGTTACATTTGGATAGCATGGAAATCCCACTGATGTACTGAACAGCCAGTTCCGACAAATGCTAAACAAATGATCCTATTTCATATTTGTTTGTGATTAGTGAGTCCATTTAAATTGACCACACATA